TTACATAGTGTGTATATACAGCAGTTAATCTCTAACATCATACTAACCTTTCCTGTCCTATGGTTAATTTTGTAATATTGTTTTGTATGGTGGTAGGTAGATAACTGCCATTTATTCATTTCAATTCCAATGTGTGAAGTGTTTACTATCTCTATCTCTCACCCTCTACATTAAAATTACCGGTTGCGTCAATCAGTCAGTCAGTTAGTTGCAACGTAGAACTTCGTACGTAGAAGTACATCAGTTCATGTTGTTATACACCCACATTAGCACAGAGACCAAATATCAACTCGAATCCCATAGTGATAATGATAGTAGAGGTATTAATGGTAATGAAGAAGAATTGTGTTCCTAGATATTATTCAAGAGTGAGTGAGTGAGATACAGTTAGAAAGACAAAGGTAGAGGTGCTGAAGAATCCAGAAGATTATGATTTGAGAGAACACAACGAATGGATGCACTTGCGCCATTGCAAACGATTTTGAGCCATGTCACTCAAGGTCTCTTACAACCATTGGTGAGTTTCGTTTCGCGGACCCCAACAAGGTTGTCTATATCTACCAACATGACTCAGTCCATTTGGCAGTGAGTTCATGCATTTGTGTCATGTTTTAGTCTGACCGCCCCTAACTTTCTTCCAACCTACTCCTACACCACAATTCATAGCTCGTCGAGGCAGTCGGTGGTTAGACATCCTGTAGACTGTAATCGTTTGATTACTAAGTAAGTGTATTAAATCTAATCTCATGCACGTCAGTTTCTTTTCACTTATTTACATGATCAAACATTGGCCATTGATTGCGAAATTCCTCCAATTATTTGACAAATAGCTCAATTGCTCAATTTTGTCTTTTCTGTCTTGGCTAACTAATAAAATGTCCGCTAGTTAGTTCTTCTAAGTTGGCGCACAGATTCGAACACTGTTATCTTTCCTTAACACTTGCTGTTAGTGGGACATAGATGGAATTAAAGCATGACTGCGTCAGCTACGCGCTGATTGGCTTATTTCCTATCCAATCAGCGCCTGATCGATTCTTGGAGAACAGGGTAGAAAATTCTCGTGTTGTTGTTAGCTGCATGCTGATTGGCTTAATTTAATCCAATCGATCACGTGAATTTCTAACCAGAAGCTTCTTATGTAAATACTATAAGGAAACTAACGTTGTATCTACTTAGCCTTCGCCTTCAGCTTCGTATTTCCATTGAACCTTACTATTTGGAATATAATCTTTTCCTGTTCCACTGTGTTTTTGATTCTTGGGAACTTGTCCAGTGTATTGTATGGTCAGAGAATACTAAACAATAGGATTCAGCTGGGAATTATTCAAGCAAGCGTTACAATACGTGCCCTTTTCATTTTTTTATGTGTATACTTCCCGTTCTTAACTATCAATCACACGGGTTGCTTTTTTGCTTATTTAGATCAATTCACTGGAATTATGTCATTCTCGATGAGGGTCATATTATCAAAAGTAGTAAATCAAAGGTAAACTTTGTGTGTGTGCGTGCGTGCGTCGATTTAATTTTTTCTCATTAGTTTGTAATGATCGGTATTATTATGATTTCACATTTTGTGTTTCTGTTCAAACATTTAAAACTACACTTTCGTAATGGATTTTTTTTTGAAAAAAAAACTACACCTCCTATCGATCAATGACCACGTGAACAACTCACTGTTTTTTTTGTACTTGTATGTTAGCGATCGCTTACATATATAAGTTTTCTCTGTAAAGGAAGAAGGATGTGAAAATTGTATTCATTTGAACCTACTTGAGTAATCTATCTACTTATGATAGTTTAGAAAAGCGAAATAAATTTACAATTTTATTAGTGATCTGCTTGTCAATTGATAAAGCTTGTATGCTATGACGAATTGACCTTTTACTGGGTAAACGAGAGCGACGACAAATCATACAGTGATATGTTAATCTATTCTAATCTGTTTATCCCTGACCCGGCTAACTATAAATATCAAGGAAGACTTGGTAGGGCGTAGAAAGTTTATTCTATACAAGCACTCAGAAACTATGAGGTTAACAAGCATATAAATCGAGGTTTATTTATACATGATAGAAACGCCCTTGTGTTACGTATGCGTGTGACCACGTCGATTGATATACTTGAACTGTTATGAGTTTATCTTAGTCGGAAAACGAGAGCGAGGATCCGGCGAAACGATAGGTTACTCTAATCCGAGCGTCCCAAACCCACATTGAGTAAAAAGAAGAAGATTTGATATGAAGTAGAATCGGTATTCTACAAGCATCCAGAAAGTACAAGGTCCGAGTCCAGAAGAGAATCCGGATCTCGGACTAAGGATCTGGGTCATAAAACGTTACAGATAATGCATATTTATACAATTAGGTTGAATACGATACAACATTGAGTTTTTTGACATTGATAGTTAGGGCGACCAATAGATTTAGACTTACAAACATTCATCTTAGGTTATTGGATGATTATCCTAACACATTGGAAGAGCCAAAAAAACCGTACTAAAATAATCCATCAACCAATGACAGTCAAGGATTTTCTGAGTGGGAATTTTAATCTCAAGGTTAACCAAGCAATTTACGCTCGAAAGCTTAAAAAATCCAAAATTAGGACCTTTTCCAAATGAGTTCTGGGGATCTAATGTCCCTAACAATTAGTCTGTCAGTTGCAACGTAGAACTCAGTACATAGGTACATCAATTGAAGTTGCCATACTTCATTAGCACATGGCAATGAAATTTTCAGGCTATATATATGTATATATATATATATATATGTCGTTTTTTTGTATATAAATATTGACAGGTTACACGTGCTGTAAAACAATTAATTGCTCAACATCGTCTTATTTTAACTGGAACACCTATTCAGAATAGAGTTTCTGAGCTATGGTCTCTATTCGATTTCCTAATGCCTGAATTTTTGGGTTCTGAACAATATTTCTTAGCGAAATTTGCACGTCCAGTAGCTGCTAGTCGAGATCTTAAAGCTTCCAAATCTGATCAACGTGCAGGTTAGTAGTTATAGTGTTTTGTTGCGTTATATTTCTGCGTTAATTCCTAAATTGATAGTTACTTGAAAAAATATAGGTACTCTCTTTTAGTACTATTTATTATACATGTAAATTATGTGTCTGTTAGCTCTTGTTCACATCATACGGGTGATAATGTGTATATAGGTGTATGGGTATGAGGGCAACATTGAATACCTCATCATCTTTATGTTTCTCTTTTTCGGTTTATTTCATTGAATTATACTGCTTGAATAATATCTTTGAACCCTAATCTTCTCCTTCACTGCTAATACTTCTACTATCGCTACTATCACTATTGGATTTAAATCTATAATTGCGTCTCTGTGCGTATGTGGTATGGCAAACTGAACCGATGTACGTACGTACGAAGTTCTACGTTGTAACTAACTGACTGATTGACTAGTGTAATAAAAATCAGACATTGTACACCTTAGGGGATCTCGGCGGGATAGTCCGGATGGGAATGATTCACATTCAGAATTGAACGTCCCTAGTTCGACCCCTTGTGTGGTGTTTGTCATAGTCGCTTGTTGCTAAAGCGTTGTTTATTGCTTCTTGATTTTCATTAGTGATTTAGTGAAGATCAAATCCTGTTCTAAATCATGAATTCATTTCATCCAACTGGAAATAGTTTGAACTATCCTGTTGTTGATAATTTTGACAGAAATTTGATCAGTTCAGGTCGGTATATTTGGGCATCCTATACGGATCGCTTCGATATTGTGGCACAAGTTTATCTAGTAGTGAAATTCTGGTCACATGTTTCGTGTTCGGGACACACCAGCCGACCATAACTGCATCCCATAGTTGATTCAAAATAACCACCCACGCATACCCGTTGCATAAGTGAGTGTGGCTACGTTGACTAAGTACGTAAGTGGATAACACGATTAAGTTTGAAGCAAACGGCACTGTGTTGAAGTCCCGGAGTTAGTCAGTCAGTTAGAACGTAGAACTTCGTACGTAGGTACGTACATCACTTATAGTTGTCATACCACATACGCACAGAGACGCAATTGTCAGTTCAAATCCAATAGTGGTAGCGATAGCAAAAGTATTAGGAGTAATTGAAAATATTAAGGCTCAAGAAGTAGGATCTAGTCAAATAGACTTAAAAAGGAAAAGATAAACTGATCAGGAATTCAGAAGGTTAGAATTAGAGAGAACATAAAGAATGAATGAACCTGCGTCATTGAAAACGATTTCGAGCCATGTCATTCAGAGTTTCTAACCATCGGTCACTACCATCTCACGGACGTCAACCACGTAGTTGACACCTTCCAACATGACACAATCTAGTTGTCAATGACTTCTTTGATTTGGCCGCTCCTAGCTTTCTTCCAACCTATTCCTACAGACTCGAGCCACTTTCGATTGTACCTAAATAAAACTAACTGATATATATTTTTCAAATGTTTGTTAAATTGAATCAATTATATATTGCAGGTCAGTTAGCATTGGAAAAACTGCATCGATTAGTTTTACCATTTATGCTAAGACGATTAAAAGAGGATGTAATGCAAGATTTACCACCGAAAATTATTCAAGATTTTCCTTGTAAAATGACACCAGTTCAAGTGAGTGTTTTTTGTCTTTACAGTTTTTTTAATGTTTTATCTTTTTAGTGGATCACTGTTGTTTTTTAGTTTATGAGTCAATCAGTCAGTTGCAACGTAGAACTTCGTACGCATGCTGCCATACCACATTAGCACAGAGACGCAAATGTCAAATCAAATCCCATAGTGATAAAGATAGTGGAAGTATTAATGGTAATGAAGAAGACTAGTAGGGTTCGAAGATATTATTCAAGAAGTATAATTCAGTGAGTGAGATAAGGTTAGAAAGACAAAGGTAGAGATGCTGACGAATCCAGAGGATTAGGATTTGAGAGAACACAAATAATGGATGCACTTGCACCACTGCAAACGATTTTGTGCCATGTCATTCAAGGTCTCTAATCATTGATGACTTTCGTCTCGCGTAACCCAACCAAGTAGTCTACATCTACCAACATGACTCAGTCCACTTGTCAGTGACTTCATGGATTTGTGCCATGTTTTGGTTTGGCCGCCCCTAGCCTTATTCCAATCTACTCTTACACCACAATTCATAGCTCGTCGAGGCAGTCGGTGGTTAGCCATATGTAACACATGTCCCAACCACCTCAACTGATGAAGTTTCATTCCTTCATCAATTGATCTGCCATCCTTATCTAGTACTCGTTTCCTAACGACAGTATTGCTTACTCGGTTGTCCCACGATCTATGATCGAATACTAGTAACCTACGAACATCTAATCTTAACGGCCATGTTTCGAATCCATATAGGAGAAAAGACAACTAGTATGAGACCCAATACTAAACTCATTGCAACTCTATCCCGTTGTCTGTCGATTTCTTTGTTAAACTGAAAAATTCAGATTCTTTAATGCATTTTAATAATAATAATAATCATAATAATCCTTTCATTTCCACTTATTCGTGTATTTTATTTCACACTACTGTGTCCTTAATGAGTAGTATATTTTTGAATAATGATAATCATGTTACGTTTGAAAAGACCTCATTATCATTATCATTGTATGCATTTGCGTTTTGGTTATTTCAATTTTGTATTGATGAATTTATGTAATAAATAGAAGAAAGACTTGTTGTTGCTGTTGTTGTAATATATAGAATAATAATTAAAGTTAACTGGAAATCACTGTGTATTATAACATCTATTCAATTAATTGAAAATCTGAATGCAATCAAATCGATTGTCTGAGACATTTGATCCTGAAAATTTTTCGCTAACTTTACTACGAATGACATGTCAAAATGACATTTTCAATTATGACGAAACAAATCTCTAGTTTAAACTGAAACTTTTTTTGTCCAGTGAGAAAAAGTTGCTTCTTCGCCTAACCAACATGGAAGCACTTTTAATCAACTGTAAAAAATTAAGCTCTACTCCATTGTATTATAATTGTTCCCTTTCTTATTTTATATTATTATTATTTCTCGCTTACTTACTTACTTACTTACTTACTTACTTATGCCTGTTATCGCCAATGGGTCATAGGTCGCTGACCAGTTTTCTGCAACCTACTCTGTACTTGGCCTCCTTTTCCAAATACGGTTCATTTTCTTCCTATCTGCTTCCGATTCAGATAGACAGATACAACGCAAAACTTCGTACGTAAGTACATCTGTTCAGGTTGCCTACCACATCATCACAGAGAGAAGTAACTGTCACTTCAAATCCAAGAGTGATAGCGATAGTAGAATTACTAGCAGTAATGGAGAAGATTAGAGAGCGAAGATATGATTCAAAAAGTATAATTCATTGAGATAAATTTAGAAAGAGAAAGATAGAAATGATGAGAAATTCAGAAGGTTTAGAAGTATAGAGAACACAAAGAGTGGATGCACCTGCGCCATTGCAAACGATTTTGAGCCATGTTCGCTTCCGATTCTCAGCACAATGTGTTCGTTCGTTGGTCTTCCTTATCTCCTTTAGCTATAAGGATTCCAAGTGAGGGCTTATCTGGTTAGGCTGTTACATTCTTTCTTCAATGTGTGTTCTATCCACTTCCACCGATTCTTCTTGATTTCTTCCTCCACTGGAATCTGGTTTGTTCTTTCCCACAGTAGGTTGTTGCTGATGATGTCTGGCCAATGGATCCTCAGTATTTTGCCTTGACAACTGTTAATAAATACTTGTATCTTATGGATGATGGCATTAGTAGTTCTCCAAGTTTCCGTTCCATACAGTAGAACTACTGTCTTGACATTTGTATTGAAAATCCTGATTTTGATGTTTGTTGATAGTCGTTTTGATTTCCAGATGTTGTTCAGCTGTAGAAATGCTGTTCATGCTTTGCCAATCCACACCTTCATATCTACATCAGATCCACCTTGCTCATCAACGTTTATTATTACTGCTTATTCATTTCATAATGATATTGTGATTTTGTTTTTTCTCAAATCTTATTTCCAATTTACTTTATAAACTAAATAACTTATCAATTATTGTTTCCCCTTTATTCCTAGCGTAAATTATATGAATCATTTCAAAAAACTGATGAAGGACAACAGGCGATGAATATCGTGTCATCAACAACAACTAATAATAACAACAACAAGAGTGACATCTATTCTCAATGTCATTCCACTTTATTCACTAATGTTTCTTCGCCTACATTGCATGGTTTTCATGCATTACGTTATTTTCAAGCTGTTTGTAATCATCCTTGTTTAGTGTTAAAACAAAATCATCCTATGTTAAATGAAATGAAACAAGAGCTATGTATAGATTCTTTGGACCAGTTGAGATCAGTTCATTTGAGTGGAAAACTTTTAGCATTATGGTAATGATTGTTTGTGTTGTTATCGATTATTATCGATTCTTGTAGATCAACACTATTGAGATTAGTGTTTTTTTGCACATTGAAATAATCAATTAATCAGTGTTAGAGCACTAACTATAAAATGTGCTCACTAGTGACTAGCTTCTTTGTGAGGAAATTCTCAGAGTTCTAGTGAGAAAACGTGGCCAGTGGAGTTCAACCCTCTGTCAGGTGTATGCAGTAACTACCGAAGACAAATGGGTGAGGTCGCTCAAAATCCCTAGATCAATCAGATTTAGACATTAACACTATTGGATACCAGGCGGCCCAGTGGTCCAATGGTTAGGCGTTCACCCACAATACCAAAGGTCACGGGTTCGCATCCTGTGAAGTGCAGGAGTCGTGGATGTGCACTGCCAAGGATGAGTCCCATACCACGACGAAACGGCCGCCTTTCAGTGCTTCTTCCAGGTTTTTAATGTTGGCCTAACTAACAATGATTGATTGATTGATGATTTCATATGTGTAAGAAAAACCACACTAATCTCCATAACTCTAATTGAAATATCACATAACTAACTAACAGTTATTATATAAGTGATACTCATAGTCGTTCATAGTTATCATTTACACACAAAAAAAATCTTGTCTCAATGTTGATTGAATCACTACTACTGATCGACACACACACATTATATGATATGATGAATGAAATTCACAGTTAATACATGTTAGAATATTATTCATCCATTAATCAAAAGAAATTATTTTGTAAGACTAATTCTATTGGTCAATATTTAAGGTCGTCCTTAACTATCACGTTCAAATACGTTTAAAAGTTGTCTTCTTATTGGTTAGTATTCACAGTCGACCTAACTGTATAAATAAGCATTGTCTCTGTAAAGTTTTATGCTGCTCTTCTTCTGTACAAGAGCTCATATTTTTGAATCCTTTGAGGTGCAGGAGTCATGGATGCGCACTGCTGATGAGTCCCATACCAGGATGAAACGGCCGTTTAGTGCTTACAGGTTTCTAATGGTGTTCTAACAATGTGATTGATTGATTGATGATTTCAAATGTACAAACTTTCCATGTTTTTGATTACTTTAAGCTCCCATATACATGTGTATATATATCATTACTATTAAGTAATTGGTGAAAAAAATCATAATTTCCAAGTTAACTGATATATTTTACACACCGGACATTATACTCTGTTGAAAGTCTTTGTCAAACAGGAGGAGGTTTAGAAAATGCATATATATTTAACTACTCATATGTTTAGTAGTAATAATAGTAATTTTACTGTAAATTTACTTATGTGCCATTCTCATATATCAACATCACTCAGTTATACTTGTTCCTGTATACTAACTCTTCTGAAAGGCTTATAGAATGTGATGTCCGGAACGCTCTTGTCTCTCGAACATAGGAAATCCCAGCGAAGTAGTTGTAGTTTCCGTGGAAGGCCATACCTAGGTCCGCAACAAGTCTTTAAGGTAAACAGCCTCTGGCAATTAAAATGTGTGAGACATCACTTATTCTTCATACTCTACTCTTCAGCTAATCCTACAAGGTGGTTATACCTTGAAAACCTCAGTCTTTATATCATCTCAATTCACTTCTGTCTAGATATAAATTTGACATAGTATATATATATTCTTTCTTAACCATGAACATGAACTAAAGTGAAACATCATAGGATCTATATGTTTGCGATCGACGGAACTGTGAAATTTGTCGCATTATGGGGTTGTGAAGATTGTTAAGTTACTTATTGAAATCATGAATCGATCAACGTTAGACCAACACTATTAGAAACGTGGAAGCAATGAACGGTCGTGTCGTCCTGGTATAGGACTCATCAGTGGCAGTGCGCATCCACGATTCCTGCACCTCTCAGTATTTGAATTTAGGATCGATTTATGATTTCACTGAGTAACTTAACAATCGTCACAACCCTGTAATGTAATTAATTACCTGTGCTCACTAGTGACTAACTCCGTGAGGAATCTTCTCTGAGTTCTAGTGAGAAATCGTGACCAGTGAAGTTCAACTTTTTCGGGTGTAGATCGTGAATTGATCGAAGTCAGACATTAACACCTTGTTAGATAATGGCTCAGTGATCCAGAGATAAGGCGTTCGCGCTCAAAACCGAAGTTCATGGGTTCGAATCATGAGAGGTGCAGAAATCGTGGATGCGCTCTGCCGCTGATGTGTCCTATACCAGGACGAAACGGCCGTCTTTCAGTGCTTCTTCCAAGTTTCTAATGATGGTCTAACATTAATCGATTCATGATTTCAATTCAACTTATCATCAATTATTATTATTATTTTATTTGTTAGTGATATTATTGCAATTCTTACCTTTGTTTGTATGCTCTTTTTATTGTTCTTTTCCTGTCAATCAAAGTCGTCTTCTAACTGATTGTGGCTTTGGCAGTCCAACTGCTATCAACAACAACAGCAATAGTACAAGTGTTGACAGTGGCAACAACACTTTATCATCTTCATCGAATTCATCTCATGATTTAGAATCCGATTCAAGTCTGTTAAGTCAGCATAGAGCTTTAATATTTTTTCAAACACGTGAAATGTTACAATTAACTGGAGAAATGCTCAGGTGACGATTGACTGACTGACTGATTATTTATGATAATAATAATTACGCTTTATTTCATTTGAAATTTTACACCTTTTTTAATTGTATTTTTAATGTTGATTTAACTGATAATTTGTTAGTTACCGTTTACCGAGTTCTTAATGATAAATATGTATGTGAATGGGTTATGTTTTGTGGTGTATGAGTAGGCTGGAAGAAAGCTAGGAGCGGTCAGACCAAAACATGGCGCAAATCCATGAAGTCACTGACAGCTGGATTGAGTTATGTTGGTATATTTAGGCTACCTGGTTAGGGTCTGCGAGACTGATGTTTAGAGACCTTGAATGACATGGCTCAAAACCGTTTGCAGTGGCGCAGGTGCATCCATTCCTTGTCTTCTGTCGAATTCTAACCTTCTGAATCCCTCATCACTTCTATAATTGTCTTTCTAAAGTTATGCCACTGAATTATACTTCTTGAACAATATCTTCGAACCCTAATCTTCTCCATTACTACTAATACTTCTACTGTGGCTACCACTATTGGATTTGAACTGACAGTTGCGTTTCTCTGCTGATACGTTATGACAACTTGGACTTATGTACACTTACGTACGAAGTTCTGCATTGTAACTGACTGACTTTCAGAGAGCAATAAATGCTCAATGTATACTGCAATGCTGTATGCTTATATTCACTTTATGATAACTAGATAGATTACACTCATATTGATAAAGTTCATCCGCTTCATGTATATTTATTCGTTTCATTTTTTCCCCACCAATAACTATGTGACTCTCTCCTCGTGCTCTAACTCAAACTAGGATTTCATTGAAGAGATAATTGTGTACACGACTAGTTAACTGTGCGTACCCTACACTTTTATTATTATTGCCGATGAAATAGGCAGACAGACAGGTACAACGCAGAGTTCAGGTTGCCATACCACAACATCAGCACAGAAACGCAATTGTCAGTTCAAATCCAAGAGTGATAGCGATATTAAAAGTATTAGCAGTAATGGAGAAGATTATGGAACGAAGATATGATTCGAGAAGTATAGTTGAGTGAGATAAATTTAAAAGGAGAATGAGAGAGATTATGAGGAATTCAGAAGGTTAGAATTTGAAAGAATACAAAGCGTGGATGCATCTGCGCCATTGCAAACGATATTCTGAACCATGTCATTCAAGGTCTCCAACCATTGGTGACTTTCGTCTAAGATGAAATACCTTAGTTTATTTACGATATGCCTCCATGGAACTATGACAGACACCTCAAATTTATCAATGACCACATATGAGAAGTGTATAAGATTGCGTTATTTGTTCAACCGATTAGATATTTTCATCGTTAGTTCAATGTCTCAGGAAATAATTTAATTGAACAGTTCAATTTTCTTTTGAGTTTGTATCACTTGAAAATGGAATCTCACTGTTTCATTTTTAAAAAAAATTTTTATTTTAAAATTCCTTTTTTTCTCATTCATTCATTTATTTATTTAGAAAACATTTCCCATGGATGACAGTGACACGATTAGATGGTACTGTCCCGGTGAATGAACGTCACAATCGTGTAGTGAAGTAAGTGATTTTTATCGTGTTTTTTTCACTCATCAAATTCTACTACTTAATACTGAAAAAAAGTATTATATTCATAGACTAGATTTTTTAACTGTATTTTTTTTAAATATGCATCTCTTTAGTGTAGCCCGAAATTTTCGGTAATTCCTATCATTCTAAGTATTGTTTTCTCTTTATGTTACACCTGCATGTAAACACGTCAACTTGATATGCATGAACTATTACGAGTTTACCTAGTCGGAAAACGAGAGTGAGGATCGACGATCCGGTGACACAATATGCTACTCAAATCCGATTATTCCAACCCCCATATTGAGTAGAAAATACGAAGACTTGAATGTGAAGTAGAATCTATATTCTACAAAGATACAGAAAGTCCGAGGTCTGAGCCCATAAGAGAAACAGGATCCCCACACTCATTAGTACTGCCTCATCAACAATGTAAATATTTTACCAGGGGATAATGATAATAGGAATACCTAATGTGTTGTATTACAATTAACACCGTTGAATGCCGGCCCAGTGGTCCGATGGTTAGGTGTTCGCGCCCAACACCGAAGGTCCCGTGTTCGAATCCTGCCAGGTGCTGGAGTCTTGGATGCGCACTGCCACCGATGAGTCCCATACCATGACGAAACGGCCTTCTATCAGTGCTTCTTCCAAGTTTCTTCTAACCGTACTCGGTCTAACAATGATTGATTGATGATTTCAAATGTGTAAAAAAACACAAACCTCCAAAACTCTGCCCCAAAATATCGTAACAGTGCTCACAAGTGACTAGCTTCGTGAGGAAATTCTTAGAGTTCTAGTGATGAGAAGACGTGACCAACAGAGTTCAATCCTATTGGGTGTAGGTAGTAACTACCAAAGACGAATGGGTGAGGTCGCGCGAAATCCCTAGATCAATCAGAGTTAGAGATTATCACCGTTGGATGCCGGGGCATTGGTCCGATGGTTAGGCACTCGCGCAAGACCGAAGGTCACGGGTTCGACTTCTGCGAAGTGCTGAAATTGTGGATGCGCACTGCCACTGATGAGTCCTCCATACCAGGACGAAACGGCCGTCCAGTGTACTTCCAGGTTTCTTCTAATGGTGATGGTCTGTCTAACAATGATTGATTGATGATTTCAAAAATTTGTGTAAAAACACACTATAATCTCCATAACTTTAATTAAAATCCCTGATTATTTATTCCTTCGAATTGTATTTGTTTGTTTCTTTGTGTGTTTTGTTCTTAAATTACTTCGTGTAGATTTAATCAAGATCCATCAATTGATGTAATGTTATTGACAACAGCTGTCGGTGGATTAGGTTTAAATTTAACTGGTGCTGATACAGTGATATTTGTAGAACATGATTGGAATCCAAGTAAAGATTTACAGGTAATGTATGTATATTGAAGATGTCGAGAGAAAAAACCCAGCTTTTTGTAAAGTGTTTTAATTTTGTTACATTTTTCTCATGTCATCCTGGGTTTTTTTTTCGACCAGATGAGGTAATATAAAAGTCATTTCGTTGTGATTAACACCGTCTCATTGTATGGGTAACAAACACGGCCAGTAAGAGTGGAAGATATTCGTAGGTTATTGGTATTCGATAATAGGTGTCTTCGAAGTATTGGTCGTGTATCATGGGACAAGTAGGTAAGGATGGCAGATCCATTGATGTAGTGTTGAAACTTCATCAGTTGAGCTGGTTGAGATATGTGTTACGAAAACGCCCAACCACCAACTGCCTCGACGAGCAATGTTTTACGATAAAGGAATAACTTGGACGAGAGCTAGGGACGGCCAGATCAAAACATGAAGTCACTGACAAGTGGACTGAGTCATGTTGTTAGATGCAGACTACCTGGTTGGCGTCCGCGAGATAATGGTAGTCGGTGGTTAGAAAGCTTGAATGACATGGCTCAAAATCGTTTGCATTGGCACAGGTGCATCTATGCTTTGACTTTTCTTAAGTCCTAATCGTCAGGATTCTTTATCTTTCTCTTTTTTTTAAGTTTATTTCACTACATTATACTTCTTCGATGACATCTTCCAACCCTAATCTTCTCCCTTACTGCTAATACTTCTACTACCTCTACCACTATAGGTTTTGCATTGACAATGGTATCTCTGTTTTATGACAACCTGAACTTAAGTACGTTTGTACAAAGTTCTACGTTGTAACTGGCCGACCGGTTGAATACCACAAAATATCGTTGAGTCCGACTCGTGTTTTGCATTGTATAACAGTAGCAGCTGTCCAACCTATCACGAAAAAAAGCATCTGCATTGATTAATCAGCTATAACCGGTTTACCACATCAAAAGCTTTGATTTTTTAAATTAGAGTGTTTTTACGCGTTAAAATGATTAATTAATCATTGTTAAACTACCATTCGAAACCTGGAAGCACTGTGATGCGAGAGATATTGATCATAATTAGACATTAACACCGTTGGATACCCGTCCTAGTAATCCAGAGGTTATGCGTTCGCACTCAAGACCAAAGGTCTTCAGTCCGAATCATGCGAGTAGCAGGTGTCGCGGATGTGCGATATTGACGAGTCCAGTACCAGGACGAAACAGCCATCCAGTGCTTCCCGGGTTTCCAATGGTAGTCTCAGTCAGTCAGTCAGATGCAACATAGAACTTCGTACGTAAGTAAATCAGTTCATGTTGCACAGAGATATAATTGTCAATTCAAATCTAATAGAGTAGTAGAGGTAGTAAAGGTATTAGAAGTAATCGGAGAGGTTAGGATTAGAAGATATTATTCAAGAAATATGATTCAGTGAGAAAAGTTTAGAAAGATAAAAAACTAGAGGTGTTGAAGAATCCAGAAGATTAATTAGGATTTGAGAGAACACAAAGAATAAATGCACCGGCGCCATTGCAAACGACTTTGAGCCATGTCATTCAAGGTCTTTAACCATCGATTAGTATCATCTCGTGGACCCCAACCAGGTAGTCGACAATTACCGACATGGCTAAGTTCACTTGTCAATGACTTCATGGATTTCTGTCTTGATCTTCCCCCATCTTCTGCTGCCAGACATTACGTTTTCACTCACGTCATATACTACTTATAAGTAGCTCGCACCACACATGTAAGGGTGACCTAGAAAAGTCAGTGAATATTTGTAGAGCCCCTAGCTTTCTTCCAACCTATTAGTAGTCTAACAATGATTGATTGATTGATTAATGATTTCAACGTGTTCAAGCTTTGATATTATCAATAAATTCTTACAACTAGTTAAACAAGTTGTTCATCTCATCTTCTTCTTGTTATTATCATTTCAAGGCTATGGATCGTGCACATCGTATTGGTCAATTACGCACCGTCAATGTTTATCGTCTTATCACAGAAGATAGTATAGAAGAACAAATTATGAATTTACAATCATTTAAATTATATTTAGCTAATACAATTTTAACAACAGATAATCAACATTTAAACCAAATGGATACAGAACATTTATTTGATCGTTTCACTGGAACTACTAATCCTACTACTACTGATAATAATAATAGTAGTAGTCAGACTGATTGTCATCATCATTACAACATCACTTCACCACTACTGGTTGATGATCTTGAAGCATGCTATGAAGCTGAATATAATTTAGATCAATTTGTGGCTCGTTTAAAAACACATTAAATCTGTCTGTCTGTCTATCTATCTGTTTGTGTCTGTTTGTTTCACCAATTTTTATATCCCTTGTACAAATACAAATGTGTTATACAGATCTATGAAGGGGGTATATACATACTACCTTATTATTGATCGATCGGTTTCTGTCATGTTTTTTTGCGTGTGTGTGTCTGTATGTATGAGATATATCCCATCCCATCCCACTCAATCCCCCCCTCCACACATACACTCCATGTATTGCATTTCTTCACATTTATTCTTCGCTAACAATCTTTTTTTGATCTCTATATGTATGACACATGTATGACACTTAGTAGTAGTAGTAGTAGTAGTTTGTTTTTCTTGGTAAAAAAAATAACTTGAACATCTTGACAAGTATTGATCTTTTTTGTATTATTATTATTATTATTATTATTATTATTATTATTATTATATAAAAATTGTATAATACACATTTTTGAACAAAACGAAATAAATAGCTACCACCTATATTACTTCTTACTTACTTACTAACTATCTCGTTACCACTGTGGTGAATGAGAACACAGGTGTAGGCAATCGGATTGTATTTAACGAAAATTACAGAGTTGTTACTCAGTAAAATAGGAAAAACCATATTGTAAATCGTTGTTAATTTGCAAAATATCAGTTCATCATATCGAACTGGACTGTTCCATTGTCACTAATCATGCGTTTCATACAAATTCCATTGTGTTCTAACTCTTCCTTTCTCTTGATCTTTCCCCATCTTCTGCTGCCAGACATAACGTTGACACTCACGTCATATACTACTTATAAGTAGCTCGCACCACACCACTATGAGATTTGAATTGACAGTTACATCTGTGTGTGTGTGTGTGGTATGGTGGCATTCCTGAACTTCGCCTGTACGTATGTCACTCTCGTTTTGTTAGAATGATGATTTTGTGCGTTGATTCAAAGTTACAATAATTTAAAATTAAGATAAAATGATTTGAAAATTGTCATTTACTGCGAATTATTGGGAAAAAGAAAGGTCGTGAATTGAAGCATCATCTTATCTCTCGGTCCTACCCAGTTAATATATAGTTGGTATTTGATGAGGGCGAGCAGATTCATTAATTATGAGTGTATATATGTGTTTGGGATGTTAGATCCCTAGAAGTCGTTTGACAAATGACTTAATTTTGAATTATTTATGTTTCCGAGCATGAGCTGATCAGTTGACCTTGAGATTTCATTTCCCAGCAGGAAAATCGTTGGCTGTGATTGGTTGCTGTGCTATTTTTGTGACTGTCCGAAGGACGTTTCTATGATGTATAAATAAACGAGATTTGTGTGCTTGCCAGGTGTTTGTAGAATATACTTTCTACACTATATCAAGACTTCTGGCTAGTCATCAGACTAGCGTAGCCTGCCTGGACTCTGGTTCATTGTCTCGTTCGCGTTTATTGACTAAGGTGTACGCGTAATAGTTCCAAGCATACCTAGTGACGAACCTAACATTATGCATGTATTTCACAATACCTGTCGTCGTTACATTAAATTTACAATATAATGTAGCTTGAAGGCCTTGCCTTCCAGTTATAAAGGAAATGTGAAATTTCATCCTGGCATCGGATACTTAGATCAAAATATTTACCATGAATTTACTAATGTTATGTTTTCTGTTTACTAACTTTGTTATATTTTCCAAGTTGCTTATCCACCGCCTTATCCGTCTTTCATATTCCTCTTTTTTTACTGTTTTGAATTGCATATACGAAAGAATTTGATTGTGATCGATTCCGTCTGTTGAGTTGTTACGGGTATGAGGGGCGGATGTCACTTCCCGGCTGCCACACCGTGGAAGGTTGTTTCTTGAGGAACCCGAATAGGAAGGTAGATTAGTATTGGTCTTGGAGACATGTGAGCGTGACCGCACAGCCCAAAAGACAACTGCTTGAGGCCATTCACGCACGACCTTTTTATGCATGGTTTTTTGAGGATTAGCTCCGCTCTTAAAGACCCTTAGTGGGCACCCTTACCATCGGAGACGGAAAACCGTGAGGTAAGGTGACATGTGACATTTTTAAGATCAACCTTTTCTAACACCTTCCTTGTGAGAAGGCAGCATCATTGCAGATGCTGGTTGTCCGAGGGAAACTTCTTACTGCTGTCACACTTCTCTACAGTCAGCAGTACGACTTCGCTCTCAGACCTTTTAGTCTCATCATTCTCCTATAAGAACATAAGTTCAAGCCAATATAGCTCGATTGGGTCATCACGATAGACAAGCCTGACCACCACGTCAAGGTAGCAGCTACGGTCGATACACAAGAAATACTATATTACTCTGTAACCGATTTATCGGCAATTGAATTCAATTGTACGAATATAAGAATGCTGTATCTATTGAATCATGCTTTCTGAGCTTGGTGCTTTATTGCATCTAATGTTGAATGTTCAGGAACTAAAGAATTGGACGATTTCATACATCACCAAAGTGAATATCTTTTCCTTTATGAAATTTGAGTAAGATGTATAAATCCCAAGGTTAAATAATTCACTGAATGTCAACAACACTTCGTACATTGATCATTTATTTAGGGCATTTTGAATGATATTACTATGATTAGATATCAGCGAACGGAATGTAAATCAATGTATCACAATAATAGGACAGTTTATGGCCCAAATTAGCTAACAAGAGCAGGAAGTTCAAGGCTAGCAAGAAGACTGCATGAATAAAATCCAAAATCAAGATGCCTGCTAAGCAATTTCTGAGGAACTAACATCCCCAACAAATATTACGTAGAAGCTTCAGAATTTGATATGATATATGTTCTGGTAAAACGCGTTCCATATACAATTTCAAACATGTTTGCATTGTTATTTAAGGTCGTTAGGAGACTGCATTTTCTCAGCATCTCCAAATAAAACAATCTCTTCGGCATATTCTAAGTCAACGAGCACGTCTCTCGGTAGGTCAACTCTTGGAAAGTTCTACGATGAAATTGTCGTCTTTACTTGCATGCTGACTGTTCTTTTTATGTATAACTTTCATCGATAGACACTGTCAGAGAACGTCGTGACCAACAGTCAAACATCGCCTTAAGGTCAAGAATTACAACTATCATCGGACGTTGGAATGTGTTCTGGGACCTGACGTATTGTGAGTATTTATTCAAGACATCCAGATCTGAAACCCTGGTTTTTCCGAATCTGCTCTTCGCGAGCGCCAAATAGGTGTCGAACGATTTTTGAAGTTAAAATCGTAGACACTATGTTAGTTGGACTGTGGTTGTAACTAGAATATTTTGTCCTTTCTTATAGACTGGGACAATCAGCGTTTAAGATCAGTCAGATTGGATTATGTTCAGTTCTTGGATCTTACCTAAGATCTCAATCAGTCTCACTGTTAAAATCGGATCACTATCCTTAAAAATCTCAGGAGTTAATCCATCCGATCTTGCTGCTCTCCCTTGCTTGAGATTGCCTATAGCCTTTACAACCTCATTCGGAGTCGGACTCACATCAACGTGCCATTCAGGTTGACTGGAGACCGTGGGTAACTGAAGTGTGGATAAAAGCTAATTAAACTGCTCCCTAAAGTGTTTGAATGATAGTCTGCTGTTACTTATCGCCACCGCCTTTCCCATCTCTTTTGCTTTCGCTAACCACCACTGTTCGCGATCATTGCAAAGGCTTCTTATCAGCGTGTGCTCAAGTTGACTCCACTCTTCATCGTGTTCAGAGCCAGACAGTCGTCACTTTTTGTTCTCTGAGCTGCCACAATACACGATTCACTTAGGTGCCTCTCGGTTTCGTTTATTCTACCTACTTGAGGATTAAAAGCACCCACCACTATCGCTAGATAAGAGCGCCTAACTTTTTGAAGTTCAGAAAGCCTCTGCTAAAATTCATCGTTTACGTCATCTGAACCACAGTCAGAGGAAGCATAAGAAGAGACAACTGTGTGTCCCTATCTTTCCGAGTCCTTGCTGTCCCGTTCAGAAAGACCACGGGTAGCAGCGGTGGGTCTTCCTGGTACATGGAGCGAAAGTCGAGACGATTCTTTATTTTGACATTGTGAAATCTAATTAGTAACTGTACTCAAATCCTGCATGCACGTTTCAAGGACGCAGCATACATCAATGACACGAGAATCTAGATTCCTGTCTAAAGACGCGCTTTGTTTCATTTGGCACAATGTCAGAACATTGAATACTCTAACATGTAGTTTGAAGCAGGATTTCAAGTGACCCGGAATAATGTTTCGTGAGTACACGAAATCGTTGGCATTAGCTGTGCTAGGTGATAAAGACGTATGAGATTTAGTCGTGGAGACAAGATTGTTATTTAGAAGTTGGGAAAGGATTCGATTGTGAGAAAGCCGATCTCTTGTGATGTTAGGGGAATGAGGGTGGTTGTTACTTCCCCGCTGCTCATAACGTGGAAGGGTATTTCTTGAGGAACCTGGAAAGTAAGTTAGGTTAGCATTGGTCTTAGAGACCTAGGAGCGTGACCTCAGAACCTAAGAGAATACTGCTTAAGGCCGGTTACGCACGGCCTTATTATGGGAAGATTTTAATGTGCTAGCTTCGCTCATCAAAATACATTACGTCCGGAGACGGAAATTTTTCGGATAAGGTGAGGTGCGATATTTTGAGAGTCGACCTTTTCTAGCCTTCCTTCCTTTCTTGTGAGAAGGCAGCTTCGCTGCAGGCACTTGATCTCCAAGGGAAACTGATGTCACACTTCTCTACAGTTGGCAGTACGACTTCGCCCTCAGAACTTAAGTTCTTCAGTCAACTGTCTATGGTAAGTCCATGGTAGGAACTAAAGGGACAAATTTTCCAGCCAATGTTGCTCGATCGAGTCATCACGATAGACAAAATCGACCACCACTTCAACGTTCGGGTTTAAAACAAATCTTCCAGAATAGAATAGAATAAAATACCCCAACATTCTGGCATATCTACTTGAAATTTACTAAGCTTTTCAATTATGTACATGTAATCAGTATGTCCTTTGTCTTAAAAATT